ATTCGAAGATACAGTCCACCATCTGCACTCACTTGACCCTTCCTCGACCTCTAGGACCTGGCGTTCCATTTTGTGCAGCAGCCAACACGGATGGATGGCGGTTCCTCTCTCAAAACGGGGATCTCGCGTGAGATTTCTGCGAAGCATATGTCCACGATCTTGACATCATGGGACGCTTGGACGGATGGGGGGCATATGCTGTTCAAGACGAGGTCATCCTTGGCCCTCGTTGAAGAGCGTTCGCGTGGGACTTCCGCGAAGCATGCGTCCACGACTTTGACATCCTGCAACGCTTAGGCGGATGGGGAGCATGTGCTTTTTGCAAATTAGGGTTACCTTGGCCGCACTGCAGGTGGAGGGAATATGTTTTGCCACAGGCGCCCTCGTCTGACTGGCGGACCGACCGGGCGGTCGTCATTCAAGGGGGGTCGCCCGCAACGGAAAGGAATATTATTTGGTCTTATGATAAGGGGGTTTCAGCACCTGTTGACGCATCTGGGTTTACTCGGGTCCTCTTCCTCCACCTCCTCCTCCTCCTCCTCCTCCTCCTCTTCCTCCTCCTCCTCGTCATCCTCCCTCTTATCCCGCCTCTCTCTCCTTCCCCCTCCTCCTCCGCCTTTCCCCCGTCTTTCTCTCCCTCCTATCCCATCCCAGACCTCCTCCTCCGTCATACTCCTCCTACTCCTCCTCCTCCTCCTCCTCCTCCTCCTCCTCCTCCTCCTTCGCCTCCTCGTCCTTCTTCGCCTCCCTTCCTCCCTGCTGCGCGGGACAGGCATTCCCGTCTGACAGCTCTGGGTGAACAAGAACAGATATCCAAATGGGACGAGTGACCAGCACATAGCATTGCAGATGCTACTGCTGAAACATATTGGCATAACAAGTCCATACGATTTGGAATTATACGTCGAGTACTGAGGGGGCAAGACATCCAGGAAACTCGCCATGGAAGCCTCGTCATCACCATCATCTCTATCACCATCATAATCAGCATCACCATCAGCATCAACAACATCATCATACTCATCATCATCGTCAGCATCAGCATCATCATCAGCATCAGCATCGTCATAAGCAGAAGTATCACTATTATCAGTACCATTACCATCGCCATCACCATCAGCATCACCACCATCACATGCGTCATCTTCATTATCAGCAGCAAGAGCGACATCCTTATCAACAACAGTATCTTCCTCACTACCATCATCATCACCACCACCAGCATCATCATCACAGTCGTCATCATCCTCATCAGCATCATAACAATCATCATCAGCAGCAACATCAGTATCAACATCAGCATCACCGTCATAACCAACCTCAGCATCATCATCACCACCATCGTTACCAGCACCATCACCACCATCGTTACCAGCATCATCATCATCATCAGCAGCAGCATCATCATCATCATCATCAGCATCAGCATCATCATCATCATCATCATCGTCATCGTCATCGTCATCGTCATCGTCATCGTCCGCATCATCACCCTCGCTCGATCCAATACCCTGATCCCACAGGACAGGGAGCGCCCACTCAGCTGTGGGCGGTCCTGGGGCCGCCTCCGTCTTCTCGCTGCACCGCCGTGCCGAGCCGGCAGCTCCTCGCTGCGCCGCTGCTGCCGCCAGCACCGCTGTCCCGAGCCGGCACCCGGCGGGGCCGCCCGCGACCCGATCCGCTGTGGTTGGGGCCGTGCTGCCGACTCGACTCGAGTCGGTTTCGTCTAGTGGCATGCGCGGGGGCCAGCCAGAGCCGGGCGCGGCGATCCGATTTCTTCGGAGGCTGTTAGACCTCCTACCCCGACACGTCGATTAGCGAATCGGCCGTTTTCGCTTCGCGAGAGGACGTCGCGGCCGCTGTGTTTGCAGGTCCAGGTCCGTCGGTTTCGGTCCCAGGCCGTTCTCACTAAAGGGTGGTTTACCAAAGGGAGGTCTGTCCACCACCGATTTCGGTGTCATTCGGGACGATTCGCCAGCGATCCGATCCTCCGAACCGTTCCGACCTCGCGGTCCGATCCCGCTCTGGCCTGCCCGGGTCTCACCGCCCGCCGCTCCCACCGGCGGCTGCCGCTGCCCAGCTTCAAGCAGTGGCGAAGCGTCCTGGCTCGCTTATAGACCCACCAAGGAAGGTTCTAAGAACCTTTCGTGGATTGCACGAAATGTTCTTAGATCATTTCTGGCTGAGTCTGTCTTGTTTTAACACGTCGGGTTTATGTTCAAAGAGCATTGTGTTTGTTTTTGAAACATCGCTGGGTTCTACAACATTTCGTGGTAGACCTTTTGACATGACGGGACGGTCGGTCCCTGCTCAACAGTTTTGTTTGCGTGGATCCGCGGGGGGCTTTCAGAGCCCCCAATCATCAGGGCTTGGGCTGGTCAGAGATACAATGAGGGTCCATGTCAAGAAACACCCTGCTTGCCCCCAGAGTGTACTTGGTTTCTTGGGTTTCGATGGTTCTGCGATGGAAAGCGTGAGACGTTCCCACACCAGAGATCAATGGACGTCCTGGGGTCTCAGGGTTGGCTTTCTTTTGGAAGGTTTCTTGCGGACTGGCCTCCACTGTAGCTCCTGATGCGTGCCTCGGGGGCCTTGCAGTAGGGGCTCGACCACAAGAAACCTTTTCACAAGAAACCCAGCCCTGAAGCCCCAGGACGTCCACTGATGCTTGGTGCGGGAACTATCGGAACCCAAGAAACCCAGGGGACCTTGGAGGCAAGCAGGGTGTTTCTTGGCATGGCTTCCTATTGTAAGCGGCGTCGTCCCGGACTCGGTTTATCTGGATAGCTCGGGCGTCCAACCGGTCCCGAATCATCGGGGCTGCGGGTGGTCAACGGCAACTCCTAATGCGTGCCTCGCGGGCCGAATCCAGCGTTGTCCCGGACTGGAAGTATCCTGGATAACCGAACACCGCGGATATTAATCCCACAGGGATAATAAAGTTCGGGGTCGCGAGGGGATTATGAATGTTGCCTACCGGAGGCCAGCATGTGGGAGGAGAAAGAGATGATGTTAAGAGGAGGCTGCTTGTTGGTGTCGCTTGAGACATCCTCGACAACGTCTTCGCTTCGTTTGATGTTGCTATCTCAACATAAGAAGGAAGTTAACCTCGATGGTGAAGTTTTCGCGGTGATAAAAAGTTCGGCCTCCGCGCCCCGCGCCCCTGACCAAACTCTTCTTGGCCGTGGATAATCAACTCTAACTTGGAAAGGGGGGGGGTCCTTTTTTATCATCGGGTCTGGGGGTGGTCAGGTGCAACTCCTGGTTCGGGCGTCGGGGGGGCCCGAACCGGAGTTACGCCAGGCCAGAGTTATCCCAGATAATTCGGGTGTCCAGGGCTTGTTGAGGGGATAGGGGGCTTACCAGTGGATGCCAGGGTGGGTTATATTTGGCCTTGCCTGGCTCCTAAGCGGGTGCCCCAAGGGCACAGGGGGGTGCAAAGATCGGGGCTAAGCGGGCTCCGCCCGCTAAGCGGAGTTATCCACCCCCTTCCCAGCCACACCAGGCATTCATAACTCACGTATTGAGCTAGGTGAGGCCAGATGTATACCACCTTGGCATCCACTGATCATCTCCTTATCCCCTTAGCTTCCCCTCCCTCGATCCCAGTGGCCTTCGGGTCACCATTCGGGTCTCGGGCGGCCGTTCGGAACGATCCGGGCACCCTGGGAACGCCCTCGACGAGGCGTAGCTGCTGGAAAGCATTCCGAGGCGAGAAGACCCCCGAATTGATGATAATGAGGAGGAGGAGGAGCAGGAGGAGCAGGAGGAGGAGGAGGAGGAGGAGGGTTAGTTAGGAGGAGGAGGAGGAGGAGGAGGAGGAGGAGGAGCAAAAGGAGGAGGAGGAGGAGGAGGAGGAGGAGGCTGGAACCCACGAAAACGGTTAGAAACCTGCGAGAACGTTTGAACACCGCGCCGATCCCACCGGTGCTCGCGCCAGCCGTGTCCTTCCATCCTCTTCCTCCTCCTCCTCCTCCTCCTCCTCCTCCTCCTCCTACCCTTCCTCCTCCCCCCGCTCCTCAATATTTTTATATGATGGATAGGTCTCCCTGTCGCACTCTGAGGTCAGTCGGAAGGGCGGGCCGGACGTTTCGCCTGAGATGCCATCACCGTTTTTTCGCCTCAAGCTGGACATTAGCAACACTTTCATAGATGAAGGGTGGGCTGCTTACAAAATATGGCTCTCGCGTCAGCCCCGCGCACATTCGTGTCAACAAAACTGCACGAGCTTCGCAGCTTGAAGGCGGGCCGTTTTCAAAATGGGGTTCTCGCTTTAGCGCCGCGCGTGTTCGTTTTGCAAGAGATCACGGATTGAGGGCGGGTCGTTTACAAAATGAGATTCTCGGTTCAGCGCCGCGCACACTCGTTGTTTGAAAAATGTGTTTTGGCTTCACGGATTCAGGGTGGCTCCTCTTCAACATGTGATTCTCGCATTAGCGCCGCGCACATTCGTTTCAAACACCTACAAGAGCTTCACGGATTAAAGGCGGTTCCTTATCAAAATGTGGTTCTCGCTTCAGCGCAGTGCACATTCGTTTCAACACATTGCATTGGCTACCATGGTTAACGTACCAGAAATGGTGTTTGTGAACGGTTCAGAAACGTCGTGGCGCAAGAGTTACGTTTAATTCGCGGTGTTGAAGTCCCAAGATTGGCGTTTTGACGCAATCCAGGATCGTCAAGGCGCTACAGTCAGTTTGACGTGTAGCGTTGAAGTTCTGAGAATGGTGTTTTTTGGGCACGTGTAAGGATATTCATACGGTTGTTCTCCAGCGGGGCATGTCCTTTCAGTAGAAATAATGAATAGTTGTAGCTGCCTATGACGAGGGATGTTGGAGGCAGAGTGTATTCCAACATCGTTAATGGGTCCTGGTTTGCACCGGTCCTCCTCCGACGACGACGGCGCGTCCCCCCCCCGCTCGCCGACCGACCGACTCGCCGGCGACGACGACGGCGACGATGACGACGACAATGTGTCCCGCCCGCGAATGGGCTCGCAGGGGCACGGGCCGCGGGCCGAGGCGGCCGCCGTCGCGGACGCCGCCTGGTTCGAGACCTGGGCGCGGCCCCGCCCCCGCTCTTGCCAGAGTTCGCGGGTCAAGGAGTCGGAGCGAGGCGGAGCGAGGAGAGGGTGGGGGAGGAGAGGGAGCGAGGGGGTGGGGGGGCAGGAGGAGCGAGGAGGAGGAGGAGGAGGAGGAGGAGGAGGAGGAGGAGGAGGAGGAGGAGGAGGAGGGGTAGGAGCCGGAGGAGAAGGAGGGGTAGGAGCAGGAAGAGGGAGGGGGGGGGGTGGAGGAGGAGGATCGAAGACGAAAATCTGGCATAAACAAAAAGCACTGTCGACGGACCGCGCGGATTTCTTGGATCTGCGCTGGTCCCCCACGGGGGCGCATCCGGCACCCCCCTGGCGCGTTTCGCGCGCCAAGGAGGGGGTCGGGCGCAGATCCACGAAATCCGCGCGGACCGTCGAAGCTGTACTTTGCGCTGCCACTAGCAGACCTTGTTGGGCTGAGGTCGGCATCCCGTGCTGCTTTGGAGGGAGGGCGCGCAGAGGCAAGGACGCGAATGCCACAGCAATCTGGCTCGTGTGCATGCCTGGCAGTGCCCCCAAAGCTGGCTGCACTCCTTCTGCATGCCCCATTTCCATGGTCCGAGGTCTCGGCGGCCCCCCTCCCCGAGGGGGCCAGGCACCGCACTCGCGCCCAGAGGTGGGTGCCCCTCCAGCAGCGTCAGCCGCCGGTACCCACGCCGGCCCTGCACCCAAACCGGAGTGGGGCCACTTCTGAGGGTGGAGGGCACACGGCGAGGCCGGCCTCCGCAGCCCCCCCCCCGAGATGGGAGCAGAGGGTGTGGCCTCGGCGTTGGGGGTACAGTCAGCGGCTTGAAGAAGGAACACGTGCTGTTCACAAGGGGCTCGGTCGTTCCTTGGGCTTTCAGGCGTTGTTATCGTTCCGGATGCGTGATGTATTGTTTACCGTTCCCTATGCGTTGTTTATTAAGTATCGTTCCTTATGCGTTATCCCTGGGGAAAAACAGGGGCTTCGAGGTCAGGCCGATGACTGTACGGCGTTGCGCTCGCCGGGCCTCGCAAGCAGTCGCTGCTGCAGTGGCTGCCTCTGCCTCCAGGTCGGGTGAGCTACCAGCAGAGGCCGACCCTGAGTCAATCAGAGCTGTGAGTATTTCCTGTAGTGGAGCCCTGGGGGCTGCGGGGCCTCTTGCCGCAGGTTGCCCTTCGGTGCCTGCTGGTGTCGCTCTAGCGGTATCCCCATCCCCTTCAGGCAGAAGGCAAGCCCGTGCCCAGCGCGAAGAAGCCGCCAAAAAGGCGTTGCTGGACGAGTTAGGGTTCATCTACCAGGTTCTGGGTTCCCAGGGCCTTCATTGGGAAGAGGGCCCTGTGAGCTTGGTTAAAAGACATTCGTTCGGTGTGGCGTTCGTGGCGAGAGTGGGCGGCCAGTGAGAGCAGCAGTGAGCCTGCGGACAGGATCTCACTGTATGCTCCGTCGGCCGCCCAACTCGCTCGCTACCTGCGCCATCGAGCAGCTAGAAGACCGACGGTGCCGCCTGCTAGGTTGAGCGCCTTCTGATGGCTCCGCGAGCACATCGGCGTGCCACGGCCAGCCGAGGCACGCCTAGTTCGCGTCTTCGGGACCGCGCCGCCGGGCTATCGGCCAGCATGGGCCACGGCGCTGAACCTGGAGGAGTTCCAAAGGCGTGCGTGGTGCATCTCGTCCTTCTCATGACTTTTTGCTGTATCTGGAGCAAGCACTTCGCCAGGTCGGCATTGCAGGCGGTGGGCCAAGACCTCTACGCATTGTGTTCTCAAGGGAAGCGCCGCAAGCGAGGCACTAGACCTCCGCGCTCCTGGGCCGTACCGAGGCCCAGCTTCTCGGGGGCGGAGGCCTTTGACTTCCTCATCCGGGTCTTGGTCAAGAAGAGCCGCCCTTCCCTTCATCCCGGCCTGGGAGACCCGCAAAATTCACTTCGTGCGGCACGCCTGGAGTCACCAGCCATGCCTTACGTCATGGAGGCGGCTCCACTGAAGCAGGCCCTCCAGCAGATAGGGGCCGGCAAGGGGAGGATCGAGCAGGCGGCCTGCAACATGTTCCATATTTTCCGGGGCCCACTGCACGGGCCTTGGGAACTTGGGAGGAGTGCCGAGGGGCGACGGCGTGGCTCGAGGCCGAGGTTGCCACCCGATGAGCTTTCTTCACTACAGCAGTGGGCAGGCCTTGGCCTTTGGCAGGGCCAAGATCAAAGTCCTCAAAGCGTTGAGCGAGACTCCAGCTACAGGCAGCAGGACGGACGCCACTTCCGCGGGCAATGGCATTCGATGACGGGTTCAAGCAGATTCGACCCGCACTTGACCGTGGAGGACCAGCGAACACTATGCATGCACACCTTCACTCGCGAATTTCGGCGCCCACCAAACCGCGCACGGAGTGCAACCAGCAGCCGCAGCGAACTGGTTCTTTCAGGACAGGAGGTGGCCGCGCACGACGCTGCGAGTACCAGCAGTGGAGCCATCCTTCTCCCGACGAGCGGCCTCTCGTTCCCGGCACACCTCCCGCTGTTCTCGTGCCTCCGTTTCTCATTTGGCGCGTTCCAGTACTCGCAAAGTGCCTACTCGCAAACGCCCGGAAAAAAAAAGTTACCCAGGATGTGATTTATCGTAGAACCCCCGCGGCGGAACCAGGCCATTTGCGAGTAGCCACTCGGCGAGTAGTGGAACGCGCTCGTCGAGTTTCCGCGTCGCGAGGCGGGCGGGCGGAGGGCTGCGCAGAGAATTCTGCAGCGGGGAGCTGGCCCTCCTGCCCCCTCGCTCGTGGCGGCGGTCGTCTTTCCTCTTCTCTCGGCTCGGGGCCACGGCGGCCGTCTACCCGGCCGCGGCGTGCGCGGAGGAGGGCAGATCGGAGTCCCGAGTTCAAGACGGCGTCTTCGAGCCAGGTTGTATACTTGCGCGCCCGCCCGAATTCGCCGACATCGTCGGACGTGGTCGCAGACGTTCGCGACCAAGTCCACGCCTTCAGCGTCCCCAGGGACGCGTGCGCCGTCAGCGCGGAGAGGCTGTGCCAAGACGACTTCAAGGTTCTGACAGGCGGGCCTAGGCGACGGGCGGCGAGGGGGCGGCCACGGGGCCGCGACGGCGACCACATAGCCGCCAGACCGAGGACGCGGCCCAGATCGTTAGGAGAGAAGCAAGAACCCTCACGTGCAAGCATCGTTTGGGGAATCTATTTGCATTGATTGTTTGTACACCTGCTGGAATTCGAATTGTTCTGTGTCGGGAGAACTGATCGCCCCGTTCTCTCTCCAAGATCAGTTCGGCTATTTCGGTGTAGGTGTTCATGGGCACCACCTTCGAGCAATGTTGCGCACGAGCTGGTTCGCTGATGTTCTGGCTTCCAGTGTGTGAGGCTTGTTGGGCTGCGTGCTTGGACCTTACAAAGCACGACGTAGCACGACCATGTACGAACCAGTTGTTGGTGGGCAGTTTGTCATCGCCGTTCTCCATGCTGTTCCGTCCCTCTTCCTCGTCTTCCTCCTCCTGCTTCTCCTCATCCTTTTAGTTACCATTTGTTTGCCGCGCATCTGCTGCCGTCTGAGCCGGCTGTCCAATGCTACGGGGTATTTGCAGTGGCTGAAGCGGGGAGACGGGCGGGCATCCGCAGAAGCATATGCCATGCTGGCGACCCTGCAGCCCAGATTCGCGCCTGTGCTGATCACAGGGCGTTCTGCTGCTCACAACAGTTCCACCGAGTCGCGTTCCCAACGTCGAGCATTGAGTCCCTGACCTCTGCCGAGGCGATTTTCAAAAAAATCGCTGGCCCGGAGCTTCTGGCTCCCTCCCTGGGCGTAGTTTTTCGCCCGGCGTCCCTTCTTGACAGCCCTGGGGCCTGACCACGAGCCCCCGAGGGCCGAAATCAAAAAAAGGCCCAGGCTCAAGATTCGTCTCGGAGCCGCCGCCGCTGGCCGCCGCCGTGGCCGCTCTCTCCGCGAGGTGACCTCGTGGGCGGACAGGATGTGCCACGCCCTCGGGGAGGCCCCCCCCGCCCTCGGCTCTCGGGGGGCGTGGGCGAGGGTCGGGGGCTGTTAAAGTTCGAGCGTGTGTGCCCCAAAATGGATTCCCCCGCCGCCTCTGCGAAAAGTGCGTAGCATGATCCGCTCAATCGACGGAGCAGTTTGCACGTGTCTTTCGCGGAGTCGGCGGAAAAACCAATCTGGTGGGAATTCACTCCGGTGGTCCATCCCCTGCTCGACACAAGCTCGGCTGCGAGCGAAGCCTTCTCAGCGGGCGGCGGGGCCTCTCAGAAGCCCCCTGGCCTGCTGGGAAGTTTCCTGCGTCTTCGGGGAAGGCTTAATTATGTTGGGCATGTCCCTCTAGAGGAAGAATTTCCAAACATAGTTTTAAGAAATTGTCAGGGGGCGATTGGTCTAGTATGTTTTGACCACTTGTGACTATTTTAGATTGTTTTCAATTTTCCGCCAAAATCCGCCTGTCGGGGACATGCCCGATCTAGCGGATGGCTCAGAGCACTTCGCAGAGGGCCCAGGGATTGCCGCGCCTCCTGGGAAGGCCCGGCCCCCTCTCGCTTCCCCCCAGGGCCCGCCGTCGAGAAGGGTGCCCTGGAGGGTTTCTCCGAAGGGCTTAGGCGCCTCCTCCTCCTCCTCCTCCTCCTCCTCCTCCTCCTCCTCCTCCTCCCTCCCTCCTCCCTCCTCCTCCTCCTCCTCCTCCTCCTCCCTCTCCTCCTCCTCCTCCTCCTTCCTCCCCTCCTCCCCTCCTCCTCCTCCTTCCTCCTCCTCCTCCTCCTCCTCCTTTCTCCTCCTCCTCCTCCTTCTCCTCCTCCTCCTCCCCCTCCTCGGGTCGCCTACTGCCCCGGGAGAATCCGTGCAGGGTGCCCATGGCCCCAGATGCAACCAGCTTTCCGCTCTGTGTTGGAGCCTCTGGGCCTCTTGGGCCTCGTGAGGGGTGCTCTTGAGGTCGTGGGGGCCTCCTTGGAGAGATCCTGGGGGCACCCTGGGCCAGGGGCGCTCATGGCGGCACCCAAGAGGGAGGGCTGCGACTGCGTGGTCCTCCATGGGAGCAGAGGGCCCCACACTGCTTTGCGGTATTTCCGGGCTTTCGTCCGGGTTTCGTTGGAAGGAGTCGACGTTTGGACGGCATTTGGACGAAATCCGGACAAAAGGGTGAAGAGGGGTGGTCAGGGTTCTTTTCGACTCCTCTGATTCGGTTCGATTCGATGTCGATGGTTTCCGATTCCGAGTTGATTCGACTTGGGATTCCGATGTGGGTTCCGATCCCTCGTTCGGTGCATACTAGCCTGCCGATTTCCGCCGATTCGACTGTTCCCGGCTCGGCTGCCGATTTCCGCCGATCCGATTCATTTCGATCGCCGATCCGACCGAACGATTCGATTCTGTCTGGGCTCTCTTGGGTGGTCGAAATCTGGACGATCTCCTGTCGCAATCACGTTGATGATAAGGCCGCGGAGGTCCACAGAGGCTCCCACGCGGGCTCACCCAGCTGCCATCGAGAGAGGAGGCCCAGACCCTTCCCAGGCGTGGCCAGAGTCATGCCGGGCTGCTGTTCGCCGCCCCTCGGCCCTGGGGGCCCTGACTGGGCCTCGGGGCCGTCCAAGAGCAGCCACGCGCAGAGGGGGGTGGGGGGACGGGGGGAGGGCTTCTTGGAAGCACCCCTGCTTCTCAGAAGGCGCGGGCCTGATCTATAGGTACGAGGCCGGCGCCGTCTAAGAAGCAGCCTCCTTCTGAGAAGCTTTCCCCCCTCCCCGACAGTCGGTGCGCTGAGGAGGAGCCCTTTTCGTTGGGGAGGGGCTCGGTGTTCCTCGATTGTTTCACGGTTTGCCATCGGTTTTCCTTAGGTTCCCCATGGGAAATCAAAGTTTAACTTATGTGGGAAAAAGGGGCCGCGCTCCTTGTTTAGGGTTCGTTCGGTCAACGACCAGACGATACCTGGTACGCGCCGCCGGAGTGGAAGTCGGGGTGGAGCGCCGGTCCCTGGGAAGAGGATCCACACCTCTGGACCTTTGGGGAGGGGTCCGCGCCTCGAAGAAGCACGGCGCCGGGGGTAGGGGGGGGGAGGGAGAGATCGGGGGAAGGAGGAGGAGGAGGAGGAGAGCCGCATCGGCCGTGCATGCCTGGGGCCCTGGGGCCACCCCGCCCCCCTCGAGGCCCCCCCCCCGCTCCTCCTGGCGCCCCAGACCCCGAGCCCGAGCTCCATGGATGGGAATGTATAGACGGGTTCCACATATGCACTTTGTGCCGCGTCAGTAACAGTACTTTAGACGCCTGTCAGAAACAGTACTTTAGACGCCTGTCAGAAAAGTACCCAGGTTATTGCGCGGGCTTAGCTTCTCTAGCCCAAAGCCCCAGAGGTCATCAGCTTCTGATTTTGGAGTACGAGCTCAATTCGCAATTTCAGCACGATGATATTGCGTCGTTCGTGCGGGTCTTATTCGGAAGCGGGAACCAGGGGCCGCTTGTTCCAAGAGCGCCCAACATTTCCGAGGACGAACAATGCTAGAATCCAGCTCTCCCATGCGCTGGAACTCAGACACCCTAAGAGAGGCCGAGCCCGGGTGTTCAAGCAACCGGTCCCGCTCGAGCAGTTTTAGCGAGATACAGTAGCTGCAGCTGAAGCTGCCAATAGTGGAGACCTTGAGGCCCACGCCAGGGGCGAGGCTCTGCCACTTACACCAGGAGTCGGTGGAGCCTCGTCGTCCTGGCGTCGCCTTGTCTATCTTGTGCACGTGCGTGCGTGTGTGCGCGCTCTGACTGCACGCGTGTCAGGCACCCCGCCTCAGGGGGAAGGCGCATTGGCATCAGGGTTTTCAACGCCCTCTTTCGTTTCAGCGTCGGCAGCGCCCTGCCGTCTCTGCGGCTTCTGGTTTCATCCTCGGCCGCAATGGAGACCATTTGTGGCTCAGCGCCACGAGGTTTTGGGTTAGGGTCGGGTCGGCCAACCTTTAGCCTCCCCTCATCAGCCAAGTCATGGTCCTCCTCCGCCTCCTCCTCCTCCTCCTCCTCCTCCCTCCTCCTCTCCTCCTCCTCCTCCTCCTCCTCCTCCTCCTCCTCCTCCTCCTCCTCCTCCTCCCCCTCCTATGGTAGTGGTGGTGGAAAATCCGCTCGTCGGGAGATCCTGGACATCCGAGCGGACCGTCGAGAGTCCCTGCTGATGCCATTTTGTTGCCCGGACCTTGCCGCCCCGATCGAGCAGGCACTCCGGGCACGACGTGCTTGACCCGGCTCAGTTTGCAAATGCCGCCGCGTAGAAGCCGTTGCCCATAGGAGATCGACTACATTATTGAGCTACCCCAAAGTTGATTTGATCGTACAAGGTACAACACATATGTGTGATCTCTTCTGGAAGAATCGCAGGGGAACTTGTCCAAGGGAGGTTGTCTGGATCCCCGCTGGGTTGTCCAATGGGTTGTCCGGGATAGGTCGTCGTGTTGCCATGGTATCAGCAGTAGAGGGGTTGTCCGTGGGGGTGTCATGAGATTTTTTGTTGTTCGGATTTTCCCGTGGAATATCGTAGAATATCAGTAGATGTACTGAGCTTCTACGCATCAGTTGTGGATCCGACGAACACATCCCGAGCCGCGAGGCCGCGCCGTGCAGATGCCGTGCCTTCTGCTCACCGGTCTGCTGGCAGGGCGCCGTGTCGCCCTGGGCCGTTTCGGGTGCCGTGCAAGATGGTTTAAATGTTTACAAGCGTTTCTTGTTCAAATTGTGGTTCTCGCTTTAGCGCCGCGCACACTCTTCGTACACAGTTGGAAGAGCTTCACTGATGCTCATGGTTCACGTACCAGAAATGATGTTTTGGAACGATTCCGTACTGTCAGGGCGCAAGGGTTACGTTAATTCGCGGTGTTGAAGTCCCAGGAATGGTGTTTTGGCACGACTCAAGATCGCCAATACGTAACAGTCAGCTTATCTGTTGCGTTGAAGTCCTGAGAATGGTGTTTGGCACGCTTCAGTATGTTCACACGGCTGCCCCCCCCCCCCCCCCCCCCCCCCCCACGGGGCAATTCTTTCATTGGAAATGACCCCTCATAGGGGCCTGTGGAAAGGGATTTTGGAGGGAGGGTGTAATTCAACATCGCTGATGAGTCTTGGGTTTCCATTGGTCCTCCTCCTCGTCGTCCTCCTCCTCCTAGTCGTAGTCGTCGTCGTTTTTGAAATAATTGATGTTCGACGATTGCTGGGACTCCAATCCGTGAGTAAGGGCGTCGGAAGGGTAATTAGTTTCCGCTCTTGGGGGGGTAGACCTACAGCGATTACCCATGCTGCTATCCCTCCTTTGTTTTTGCCTTTGGGGGCCTCCTGGGAGGCCCTCGTCGCAACCGCTCGATTCGCCTCGAGATCCTCGTCAGAAGGCTCCCCGGGGAGAGGTCGGGGGTGCAGCGGCATCAACACCTCTTGGTTTTCTCAAGGCTCTCTCTGCCGCTTGTCATCCCCTTCGCCCCCTCTCCCCCATTCGCCCTCGCCCCACTTCCCCACCTCTCCCGCTCTTCACCATCCAGGAGAGGGGCAACCTCGGCGGGGTGCAGCCGCTGAGCGCGCGCGGAGTGGCCATGCCGGTGCGCCCCCCCCGCCCTCAGGGGCACAACTACGGGCGAGGGGCAGGGTAGGAGGAAGAGTGGGCATTCCTCCCTCCTCTCTCCTCCTGGGCCCCTCTGGGGCATTCCCCCGCCATTCTGCTCCCCCTGGCGGGCCTTCTCAGGAGGCTCGGAAGTCCCCTGGCCTTTGAGAAGTTCAGAAGCCGGGCGAAGGCTGGCAAACCCATGGCTGCTTAAAAGGAGCTGCGGGAAGTTGTTTGTCATCTTCCGGGAAGCAGCCTGTTTATTAGTTATTTAGCGCGCTGAGTTTTATTATTGGAAATTGTTTTTCTTCCGGAAAGACCGATTCAGCAGCCACGGATTTGCCAGCCTCTCCCAGCTTCCGAGAAGTCTTCTAAGCTCTCCCCGAAGACGCAGAAAAGTTCTCAGCAGGCGCGAGGGTTTCGAAGTCCCGCCGCCTTCTGAGATGGCCTTCCCCTTCTCATTTCCCCCCCCCTCGCTCGCCCCCGACCTGCGGCACTGCCGCTCCCTTCTGAGATGACCTTCTCCTTCTCATTCCCCCCCCCCCCTCGAAGTCCCCCCTCGCTCGCTCCCACCCCTCGCTCGCCGCCGACCTGCGGCAGGAGGCGGCCGAGCGGTCTCCCGGGGAGCTGCCTCCCCCGGCCTTCCCCCCGTGCGCTGCACGCACGGCCTCCCCGCTGCCCGAGGGCCGCCACGGTGGCCGGCCATCGCTGGGGCCCTTGGGGTGCAGCCACTGTCGGGCGGGATTGCAGTCGGCCCAGACTAGCAGGTCGGCCCTGCCAAGCCAAGGGTACTCTAGTGTCCTGTGTGTTCGCGACACATGCCTTCTACATCATCGCGGCAATGTGGCGCTCGGAAGGGTCTCGTGTCCCGACTGTAGGGCGAGGATACGTCCGTCCCAGAGCGTTCCCAGAGATCCCACGCCCCAGAAAAATCGAAGCAGGCGGTTTGGGGTTGTTTGCGGCCTCCGGGGGCCCTCGCCGGGCCCTGGGACCCTCGTAAAACGAATCAGGGCGAAACATCTCCTGGGCCCACGCATCGAAAAAGTTTGAGCAGCCGGATGTCTGGGTTCCGGAACGCTCTCAGAGCGTTCCAGAACGCTTTGAGAAGGCCGCTGCGCCTCGCTGGAGACATCCTCCAGATCCGCAGGATCTCAGAGATCCCCAATTAAGCCTCACTAGATTTTATCCTCGTCTTGGCTTCGTCGTAGACTGCTTCACCGAAGGGGCCTGCTCTTCTGGGAGAGGTGTCGCCAGATGAAAAGGTCGCAGGCGATGTTTCTCCCCCAACCCCCGACTGTTCGACTAAAAATAAAGCCGCTCAAAAAGGGAGGGGGACCCTGGGACACACCCCAAGGGGTCTAGAGCGCATCCCGATCGAGGGTGGACGCCCTCCCATCGTATATCTAAGGGTTGGGTTCCAAATGTTTGGACCATTCGGTGAACCCAAGAAGCCTGGCACCGGGGCCGACGTATCCCTTGTTCAGAGGCGCCGATGCCTTTGCCCCTTCCTCGTTTCTGCCCTCCTGAGCCTCCTGGGACAGCCCTCTGGACAACCACCTGGCCAACCTCGAGAGACGAGACAACCGCGGGACGGCCACAGGACTACTCAGCCACGCGCAGAGGAGGGTGTGGGGAGGGGGGAGGGCTTCTTATAAGCACCCCTGCTTTTTAGAAGGCACCGGCCTCATCGATGCAAGGCCGGCGCCTTCCAAGGAGCAGCCTCCTTCTAAGAAGCCCCCCCCCTCCCTCTCCCCCCCTTGTGCGCACCGCCAAACAACCGCGGGACAGCCACGGGACAGCCGCGGGGCAGCCGCGGGGGGACGGCCACGGGGGACAGCTGATGCGCCTCCGCAGGGAGGGGGGGGGGGGGGCAGGTCCTCGCGCGGGCCTCGGGCGGCGGGGCGGCGGCCCGCTGTGGCGCGACCTGGGCACAATTATCGGCCATTCGCTCAAAGGAGGAGGAGGAGGAGGAGGAGGAGGAGGAGGACGAGGAGGAGGAGGAGGAGGGACGGAGGATAGGCGAGAGAAGAGACCTTCATGGAGGTGGGCCCGTGACTTGCACCACGTCCACCACGGTGAGCAGCGCAGCAGCAGTGACAGGATGAAGATCAGCCCCGCACAGAAGGGGAGCATGGGGGAGGGAGGAAGGCTTCTCAGAAGCACCCCTGCTTCTTAGAAGCCGCCCCCCCTCCCCCTACCCCCCTGTGCGCGCCGCCCAGATTAGTTCGCGTAGAGACACGCGCGGCTCACCCGCACGCCAGGAACAGACGGCCTGAAACGAAACCAATACCGACTTCCTTCGGTAGCACATCATGGTACGGTCGGACCGAGGTATAATATCGAGATCGGCTCAGGGAAGGTATCCTCATGTTTTTCTTTGTGTTGTTGGATGTTCTTGTGCATCCTGGGGAGGGTACCCTTGGATGTTCTGTGTTTTGGCTGGCAAAAGGCCTCATGTTCTTGAAGGATGTTCTTCTGGCCTAGGTCCGACTGAACCTTCACAATTCCATCTTTGGAATGCGCTCGCGTCGATTAGCGCCTGGTAGTCGATGAGATAGGGCCATTGTAGCGTCGATCGCCGTCGATTTAGCCTCGACTAGCGTCCATGGGTGTCGACCCGCGAGAGCCAACAAGGTTGTACGGGAGGCTCCCACGAGTTGCCGCAGAGTGGTTGGGGGCCTCCGTTTCTATCCGTTCGCTTAGGAGGCAATTCCTGAGATGTTCAATTCAGCATGGGCGCTTGTACATGTATCCGTGGTCGAAAACATTCGGTAGCAAATCATGGGAGCCTTGTATATCATTTACATTCCGACAATAGCATTGATTCACGTCGATTAGCGTCTGGGAGTCGGTTAGCATCGGTTAGCGTCGGTTAGCGTTGATAGTGCCGAGTTAGCATCGATTAGCGTCGACCAGCGTCGATTTAGCGTCGATTTGCAAGAGCCGGCAAGATGGTACGGGAGGCTTCCATGAGTCGCCACCGAAGAAGACAGGCCAAATCCGGCATAATCCAGACCAGTCCCGTTGAATCTTTCTTACTCCGGGCTCTTCCTGGGCTTCATCTTGGGCTTAATCCAGCCTGGCCCGATTCAATGGCCATGTGATCTAGCGGCATTCTACCCATTCCGCCACCGTGCCTGAGTTGTAGGTCAGAGGCCTTCTGGATGCCTGTGAGGATCTCTTGGGAGGCTTCTCGGATGCCTCTTGGAGGCGGTTTTGGGAGTGTCTTGGGAGCCTCTTGGCGCCTGATTTGGGCCCCTCGGTTGCCTCTTGGGGCATCTTAGGCGCACCTCGGAAGCTTTGGGAGGATCTTCGGGCCATCTGGAGACGGAAGGCTCAAAATATCAGTTCGTGCTCCCCATCTTGGGCCCCTCTTGAGGCCGTCTTGGGGGCCTCTTGGGCCCTTCTCGTATTCCGACGTGCGCGCCCTCTACAGCGGTCCAAATGAAAACCCTCCGCATTATCCTCTGAACCTCCTCTGGTCTTCTTTCCAGAAACACACATGGAAAACTATGTTGGGCGTAAACTGAATCTATGTCTCCCCCATTCATACAATTCTGCATCACGTTGCATCTACGATTCGCTTCGTCTGAGTTGCGGAGTTCATTGAGGCCCACAGGAGTTTCGCAAAGGGACATCCTCGCTCGACCGAGTTCGACGGTGTTTTCGCGCAGAGACATCCTCATTCATTAGGATGGAGTGCCATGATGTGTCGGATTCATGTGTATCGTAGGCAATCAGCTGTTCTGGAGACTCACAGGGAGGCTGTCTAAGATCATTTGCGCAAAACCCCCGACCAATTTCCCACGCATATGGTTTGATCATGCCCCTCAACAGAAAACATAACACACCAAAACATATCAGGACGTGATACAATGTTTTGCCCTAGACAAGCGTGCGCGACTGCGTTGCTAGGTCAGCCTGCACCATTGAACAACATTGCCGATGCGCACATGCGGGCCCAGGGAGTCAATACACATCTATATATATATATATATACACATATATATAACCGCATGCCGATGATAATAAAGGGACCCCCCCTTCAGTGTTTAGAGTTGATTATCGTCCCCTCATACAAAATTCAAATTGGGCGGCGAGCGCTGAGGCCGAACTTCATTATCACCTCGAAACGCTATGTTGAGATAGCAACATCAAGCGATGTTGCTATCCCCGCGCGCGCCTGAACTTTTTTATCTCTGGGGTTGATTATCCATGGAAAGGGGAGCACATGATCTACATGAGCACTAAAAAAACAATTTTCATAAAGCGCTTGTAAATTATAATTGATAGATTTGGAACTTTCCATTTTTCCGTTATTCTTCTCTTCTTTTTCTTCTCTTCGTCTTTCTCCTCCTCCTATCATTTCTTTTTTTTATTATTTATTCTTTTTATTTTTCATTTTTACATATAGCTTCCTCCATTCCAGCGAGATAAGCCATTATTGAGGATATTTCTATGAAAACTAAACGCCAAGGATGTCTCAAAACGTGCTCGGCCTTGTCCCGATTTGACCATCTCTTACTTCGAGATTATGCTGAGGTCTGCTGGGCTACTTGTACTATCTCTCCCTGAACCCCGAACTTTATTATCCCCAAGAGTTTATTCTCACGGGCATGAGGTTATATTTATACATATATCGGCGCACCGGGTCCGGGGGCCCGGGGCCGGGACCTCGACCGCAAATGTGCACCCCGGGGGGCCCGGAGGCTCGTCGGGGCTTGCCGGAGGCCTCCCCAGTCAGACAAGACGGCCCAAGAAGCGCCCAAGACGGCCCAAGAAATTTCCAAGAGGCCTCCAAGAGGGCTCCGAGATGCTGAAGATGGCCTCCAGACGTCCAAGGACGCCCCCAAGAGGCCCCAAGAAGCCTCCAACATGCGTCCCAAGAGGGCCCCTAGACGCAAAAATTGGCCCATTCCCTTCGTAAAACGTACATTTTCAACAAAGTTGTCTTTTGGGCTTTCCGACGTTACAGGACGGCCCAAGAGGCGCCCAAGA